ACGCTGTCTGTCCTACATGTGTAGAGAGATTCTACAAAAGTCCCAAGACCCAAGTTTACTGAGGCTCCACCATCTTCAGCATACTAGTTCCACAGAGAAGAAAAACTGAAGAATCTCCCATCAGAGCTCCACCTTCTTCACCCGAAATGACTCCAGTTACTTTCACTCACATTATATTGGCCATACCTAACTATGTGGCCTCACCTAGTTCAGGGAACTGGAAAAACAGCACAAGTGGAGTATCTGGTGAGTGTTACTACCTCTACTATCAAAAGCCTCCAATGGATTCTATTTCTCTTTACCTTAGTTATGTATGTGTACCATGACGTTACATGCTACACAGGTCCCTCCTCCCTCCTGAGGTTATGAGCAGAATCAAATGAGATGACACGTAAAAAAACTTTAACAGGATAATGGTACCTACAGCGTGGTGTAATTAACATGCCTTTATCTCTGTACACACATGCACGCGCACACCTATTTAACCTGAGGTGTGGGTCAAACAATAGATCCTCTGGGGTTATGAAATATGTTATTGTTTTCATTTTCCAGGGAAACTACTTACTACCTTCTCTATCCCAATTAATTTTTCGGTCTTGATGTTTCACGTGTGGCAGATTTTATTTTTCAAAGATGTCTGCACAGTAGGTCACATCCCCACAAGCTCTAATTACATGTCATCTGAGCACTCCTCTCATCAAGTGGTGGAGTCTGTGTAACCTCCTTAACCTGGGTATGACCGAGGGGCATTACATGAAATCCAAGACTAGTCATAAAAATGCTGGGCACTTCTCTTGCTTTCAGGAGGCTCACTGTTAGAAGACGGCACCACATTGTGGAGAAAGCCACATGACAGCATGGAGAAACTTCCCTGGAGAGGTCTCAAATGTAAATGCTGCAACCAAACACCGAGCTGAGGTCCCAGTGAACAGTCAACATCAATCTCCAGACCCATGGCTCCAGATGTTTCCTGCCCCAAGACATTACATCAAACCCAGCCTTCAAATCTTCCCAGTTATGATCCAGTATTTAGCAGAGAAAAACGATCCCCACTGTACTCCATCCAAATTCCTGCCCTGCAGAATTTCTGAGCACAATAAAATGACTGTTAATACTGCTAACTCTAAGGGTAAATTTTCTTTTAAAGACTTTTGCCATAGGGTGCATGTGCTCACCAGAAAGAATAATAAGAGAGAAATCACCCCACCAGGGAGTAGGGGATGGGGATGAGGGAATATGGGATATGGGTGGGGATGGCTGTGACTCAATCCCTTCTCCTCCCTTTTCCTCCTGGGATTTTGAGCACACATGCACATGTGCCAAGCATGATTTTCAAGCAGCCAGGTCCAGGACTCGAACCACAGTCTGTCACGGTGTGGCAGATTTTATTTTTCAAAGATGTCTGCACAGTAGGTCACATCCCCACAAGCTCTAATTACATGTCATCTGAGCACTCCTCTCATCAAGTGGTGGAGTCTGTGTAACCTCCTTAACCTGGGTATGACCGAGGGGCATTACATGAAATCCAAGACTAGTCATAAAAATGCTGGGCACTTCTCTTGCTTTCAGGAGGCTCACTGTTAGAAGACGGCACCACATTGTGGAGAAAGCCACATGACAGCATGGAGAAACTTCCCTGGAGAGGTCTCAAATGTAAATGCTGCAACCAAACACCGAGCTGAGGTCCCAGTGAACAGTCAACATCAATCTCCAGACCCATGGCTCCAGATGTTTCCTGCCCCAAGACATTACATCAAACCCAGCCTTCAAATCTTCCCAGTTATGATCCAGTATTTAGCAGAGAAAAACGATCCCCACTGTACTCCATCCAAATTCCTGCCCTGCAGAATTTCTGAGCACAATAAAATGACTGTTAATACTGCTAACTCTAAGGGTAAATTTTCTTTTAAAGACTTTTGCCATAGGGTGCATGTGCTCACCAGAAAGAATAATAAGAGAGAAATCACCCCACCAGGGAGTAGGGGATGGGGATGAGGGAATATGGGATATGGGTGGGGATGGCTGTGACTCAATCCCTTCTCCTCCCTTTTCCTCCTGGGATTTTGAGCACACATGCACATGTGCCAAGCATGATTTTCAAGCAGCCAGGTCCAGGACTCGAACCACAGTCTGTCACGTGAGAGTCCAGCACCTCAACCACTACATCACATGCTGGCACCTGGGGATAGATTTGATGCAGCAACAGCACCTGGAATAGAGGGCCTTATTAGCCCTATAGTACTCACTCAATTCTGCACAGAAAGAAGAGTTAAGTATTTGCTAAGTACTAGTACATTTCAAATACTGTACGAATGGAAACCATCATGGGTGATCCTCAAAGGGTGCTGGTTTGTTCAAATTCAGTTACGCTACAAGCACAAGAAAAGTCAGAACAGTAACAATTAAGACAGAAGCTTCTCTTTTCACTTAAAAAAACCAGACTGTTAGTTCAGGGCTGCTAAACCTACCAGACAGGATGTAGATAAACTACTTTATCTCTCTGCTACTCACTAAATGAAGTCTTCACCTTCCAAGATGGTTGCTCCAGCTCCAGGACTTTTTCCATTCAGCCAGGAAGAAGGGAAAAAGGTGTGGGGATGGGTGCGCCTTTCTACTTTGAAGGATACTTTCTGCAAGTGTACTATTAGGAGGAACTGTCAAATGGCCACACCAAAATGCACCTAGAAAGAATTATTTTTATTCCAGGTGGCCATGTCTCAACTAGTAAGCAGGAAACCAATAGAAAGGAGGAAAAAAAAAAAAAACAGAGCCAGTCCCATAGTACAATGGTTAAGTGCTGTGCATTGGGAGCCAGATCCCATATGGTCAATGGTCAATAACAGTTCAAACCCTGGTCCACCTCGAGCAGCTTGAACAATACACTAGACACATGTGCATGCACACTTCGAATCCTGATTGGATGGAGAATGGAAGGGATTGCACATGACCATGCCCCCTGGGGGAGAGTACTTTCTATTTCTTTGTTTCTCTCTGGCAAGCACACATGTCCTCTGTCAATGGGGGAAAAAAAAGAGAGAGAGAGACAAACAAATATCAAGTGGATATTCATAGATAAGTGAAAGTTCCTGCCATGTGCATATTCCAAAATTCAGTGCACGTTTGGTTTAGGATTGCAGGTTCTAATAAGAGTTACATAAAAACCATCCTGGTGGGCCAGCAGGTAGTGTGGTGGTTAAGGCATTGGACACTCCCACATGGCTGACCATGGTTTGTGTCCAGGACCTGGTGGCTTGCTTTCTCACTTTCCTTCTCTCTATGTGTCTGTTTTTCTCTGGTCAAATTCAAATAAATGAATGAATAAATAAAATTAAATAATTCTTAAGGAAAAAAAAATTAAAATAAAAAAAGAAAGCCCATCCTGGGGAGCCACAGTGATTTAGCAGTAGCACACCACTTAGATGCTGGATCTACATGGAAGTGCAAAGATCTGGTTCCCAGCTCGACTTGTACACTCCAGGCACTGGTGCCCATGACGCTGGCTGGCAGGGAGGATTGGGGGGAAGCTCGCCACATGATACCTTGTTGAGGGTGCTTTTCTCTCGCCCCCAAAGTTCTCTCCCAACAAAGAAACTTAAAAAAATAAATAAATAAAATAACTATACCAAAGTATTCTGTTAAGAGTCAATTTGGGTTAGATCTTTCAGATAAAATAAAAACATATCTTTAGTACAGTATCAACTTTTCTCACCAGATAAAACAGCTGAAAATAGTAAAATGGCAAACAAGCACTTAATAAATTAGTGATTCCTAGGAAAAGAATAGACATTTAGAGACAATTATTTCCTCTAAAAATACTAATAAATCCTGTTTATATACTAGACATATTCCTGTAATGTGTGTTTCCTTGGGCAAGTCATTCAATAACCTGGAGTTTAGTTTCATCATTTAAAGTATCATGTCACAAACCAGCAGTTAGCATAATGGCTATGTCGCTGGACTCCCATGTAGTCGACCGCGGTTCGTGTCCTGGACCCGGTGGCTTAAACTCATGCCGGGTGCGTGTGCGTGCGTGCCCAAGATCCCAAGAGGAGAATGGAAAGGAACTGCGGCGTGGCCATCCCCCAGGGGGTGATTTCTCACTTACTTTCTCTCTATCTCTCTCTTTCTGGCGAGTGCATGTGCCCTATAGCAAAAACCTCTCAAAAAAAGAAAAAAAAGTATCATGTCACAGGACCAGCAGTTGGCGTAATGGCTATGTCGTTGGACTCCCATGGAGTCGATTGCAGTTTGAGTCCCAGACCCAGTGACTTAAACTCACACCGTGTGTGTGTGTGTGTGCGCGTGCGTGCGTGCCCAAGATCCCAAGAGGAGAATGGAGAAGGGATTGCAGCATGGCCATCCCCCGGGGGGTGATTTCTCACTTCCTCTCTGTCTTTCAGGCAAGCACATGCGCCCTATAGCAAAAAAATCTCCAAAAAAATTAAAAAATAAAGTATCATGTCATGATGGTTAAATGAGATTACAAGTCAAATGCTTTGTAAACAGTAGAATTTTATACAAATATAAAGTTATGCACCCTCAAAGCTATCAACCCAATAGATACTTATTCAATTGAACAAAACATCCTTAAAAATTTTTTAACAATTTACAAATACATTCACAACATAATCTGCTGACTAAAAGACTCCAACAAAGTCTGTGGTACTTACAATGGATACCTTCAACAGTTTATAGATTGGGTTAGTTTACAGTTACATATGTTGCTTTTCTTTAAGAAGTATCATTAATACAAATGTATGATTTACAATATTCCCATTATAGCAAGAAAAAGAAAATACACTCACAAAATGTGTTAGGCATTTACTATGCCAAGTATTTAAATGATTATTCTCATTATGACATAAGACTAATACTCTTGTAGTGGAAAAAGATAGGTTTTATTAATCCAACAATCACTGAAGAGTTTCCAAGAAGTTCCAAAGTAAAGTTTGGCTATCTTTTCCATAAAATAAATAGAAGAGCAGTTATCTCTGGGTATCCCATAAACATAAACTATTAGGATTCCATTTTTATTAATTGGGCCTTGAGTAAATTACTTGTTACAAAGAAAAATAAACAAAATTTCAGAAACTAGTTAATACCACTGGCCCAAAAGTGGTTTTCCACGTGCCTGCTTATGTATAAGAAATTTCACCATGAAGTACATATTTTAAAATAACAATTATTTCCAACACATAAGGTCAAAGTGTTCACTCTTACCATAGAAGCAAAAGTTACTTCTGAAAATAATCTACAAGAAATAATATATAAACACAAAGCACTTTAAGATAAACTAAAAACATCCTCCTATGTTCTATGGATAAAAATGCAAAGGTCTCTAGAACGTGTGTAAGTGAATACACACACTTTGATTAATGTGGGCTATACTGGTGTCACATGAGCATGTGCGGACATGTGTACACCATGAAACAAATTGTGAGAATGTTTCTAGTGACACCATACTCTCTAGTCCCACCTGCTAGAAAGAAAACAAAAACTTAATGACTTTTCCTCTTTATAAAGTTTTTAAGTGGGGAAAAAAAAAACCGACACTCCTCTTTGCAACAAGGACTGAGCTCTAAAAGATTCAGTCAAGAATCTCAAAGGTTGTTTCCCAATGTGATAAAAACATATAAGTTTTCTATTTAGGAATTCTGATCATCTCCAGTATTCTGCAAGAGAGAGAAAAAAAAAATGGTCAAAGTTACTTCACACGCCACAGACTTCAAATCAGTAAGAAAAACAAAAAAAAGTTGTATTTGCAAGCAATGCCAGCAGTGCCTCACATTCAATGGCCCATCAGCTAAAAGGTGGACACGCTGGAGAAATAAATCCATAGGTACCGTCACTCACCCAGATGTCCAGCCTGCCCCATCTGAGCAGAGCATCCTCAGGTTCTGCCTAAGACACTAACCCTTATCCATGTTGGGCCAGGCTCACAGTCAATTTCATTTGTATTCAATGTCCCTCCCCACCTTCAGAAACACTGAAAATCCCAAGAGAAAAAGGCTAATAAGTTATATATAAAAACTACCCTACAGTAGACTATCACAAAGACACACGGGGGCCATGCAAAACTCCTTCAGGATGAGTACTGTTCTTACAAGAATATCTGTTTTCTCTATCTCTTAACTCACAGGGAGAAACTAAACAGTGGAATAGAAAGAACAAATGAATTTCAAGTGGGAAGGGCTGGTTCAAGTCCTAGCTTCACACCCCTTAAGACTGCATATCCCTAAGCATCTCTCAGGACATTACTTAACGTGTAATCCTTGGACCAGCAACACCACGTAGAACCTTATTAAAAGTGAAAATTATGACACCCCAACCCCAGAACTACTGAATGAGAAACTTTGGAAGTGGAGCCCAGCAATCTTGTGCCCTCTGGGTGATCCTAATGCATGTTCAAGTTTGAGAATCACTATTCTTTAAACACTGTTTGCCCAAAATACTGCACTAAACAAATGTGAAATGTCACTTACACAAAGATCTACTCAATTTTCCCAAGGAATTTAACCAATAACTATTAACCTAAAACTACTTATGCCTTTGGAAAACTTGACTTAAAGCCCTCATATGATGGAGAACTGTAGTAAAACTTTTAGGTTCTGAGGGTAAAAACACCTGAGTACTTTAAAACAATCTTTAATGATGATCCTACTGTTTCAATTAGTTCTTGCTATAAACCAATACAATATATATTCTTTAAAAACATGCATTTAAGGCCACCATAATTAGTGAAAAGGAATTGAACTTAAAGTAATTTATAAAAAATAATTATCGATGATAGCTGTTTTTTTTTTGGGGGGGGGTTTGCTTTAGGGCAAATGGACTTGCCAGAGAGGTAGAGAGAGACACAGATACAGATAGAGAGAAATCGCCCCCCCTGGGGGGATGGCCACACTTCAACTCCTCTTCCATTCTCCTCTCAGGATCTTAGGCACGCAGGCACGTGACTGGTCTGAGTTTTTAGTTTCATTTTGTTTTGTTTTAAAGATTTAATTAAATTAATCAATCCATTAATTCATTAAAATTTGACCAGAGACGGGCAGAGCAAGAGTGAGAGAGCAAAGAGTAAGAAGGCAAGCTATCAGACCTGGGACTAAAACAGCAGTCGGTCATGTGGGAGTCCAGCATCCTCAACTGCCATAACCACGTCACCCACCGGCCCCCCTGGCATGAGTTTTAAGCCACCAGTTCCAGGACTCAAACCACAGTTGACTATGCAGTAGTTCAGCGATGTAATCATTACACCATTTACTGGTCCCTCAATGATAGTTTTTAATCCCTCCTTTTATTTATCTCTGTTTTAAAGTAATTTTAGGAAATGAAATACATTTCTGAAATACATTTCTGAAATATCCTAAAAGCCTCCAAAGAGCAAGTAAGACATTTTTATCATCACTGTATATTTAAATAACTATAGGCCTTTAAGAAACTTCTGTTAATAAGCATCACATAGAAATCACTACGTTAACCACTGACCACTTTCAGAAAATGCTTACTTGTCTTAAAAACTGCTTTCCAAGATACGAGGTAGCCATACTGGTTAAATTCTTCCTGCTGCCCACTTTACACCTGATGTAACCATACAGGTTGGCACCTTGTAGCACAACACCCATGATAACCACCGCCTGGAACAAGAGGAAAAACGATCTATGGTTACTTGTCTAAAATGGACCTTTCTCTATGTCATAAAGGAGATAGAGAGAAGGAAAAAGGAAGTTTTACAAAGTGGGAGTTGTTGGGACCAGCAGATGGTGTAATGGTTACATCGCTGGACTCCCATGTAGTCAACTGCGGTTCAAGTTCCAGATCTGGCGACTTAAAACTCACACCAGGTATGAGTGCATACATGCCCAAGATCCCGAGAGGTGAATGGAGGAGGGGCTGTGGCGTGGCCATACCCCCTGGGTGGTGATTTCTCACTTTCTGTCTCTCATCTCTCTGGCAAGCACATGCACCTTAGCAAAAATCTAAAAAAAAATAAAAAACAAACAAACAAACAAAACAAAGTGGGAGTTGTGTCACTGAGACTTCTCAACTTGCCAGAACAGACCCATCAATATATGCTCTGTACAAGGTACAAGTCACTGACTCGACAGATACTTACTGCACATTAACGCAATCTGTGCCAGGCACGAGGCCAGCCCCTGGGATGCAGTGGAAGTGGAGCTTTTGGTTTCTAATGTTTCCCACTGGACCATGAATAAAGATGTGAGGAAAAGGAAATGAGACTTGGAAAAGGACTGACTGTGCTTTCTGTAATTTCAGATTTACAATAGCACAATCAAGAGACAGGTCAAGTTTAATCACGTGCCCGCAGACAGAGGTGAATCTCTCCTTTCTGCTATGTCTGATGACTGGTTTCTCTGAAAGGCAGCTCAGTGCCGCAGCGCAGCAATCAACAGGTGTCTGCCTTCTGTGAGGAAGGACTCCCCGAGGAACTGTACTTTCAAAGAGCTGTTTATTCCTATGGCCACATCAGGAATCCTAGGGGTGACCGCACTAAGATCACAGAGAACTGAGAATAAGAAACTCATGCCCACTCTTTGAATACTACATGAGAAAAATTAACTAGTACAACACGAGGAGGTGCTAAGGTTAACTATTCTAGAACAAAGATCAGCAAAGTTTTTCTGTAAAGGGCCGGATAATAAATATTTGAGGCTCTGTGGGCCATGTGGTCTCTATTGTTAACCACTCGACTTTGCCATTCTAGCCCCAAAGCAGTCATAGGCGATATATAAACAAATGGTGAGAGTATGTTCCAATAAAAACTTACAAAAACAGGTGCTGGGCCAGATTTGGCCTGCAGTCTGTAGCTGCCAACTCCTGTTCTGAAGTAACAGTTCACCAGCCTTTCAACTATTTAAAGAATTATCCCGGAAACAATACACTGTGAAAAAGCTAAGCAGCTGGACAAAATATCTTTTTCCAAAGAAGACTTATCATCATTTATTTTTTTTTGAGAGGTTTTTGCTATAGGGTGCGTGCACTCGCCAGACAGAGACAGAAAGTGAGAAATCACCCCCCATGGGGGATGGCCACGCCGCAATCCCTTCTCCTCCATTCTCCTCTAAGGATCTTGGGCACGGCACGCACACGCACCCAGCGTGAGTTTAAGCCACCGGGTCCTGGACTCGAACCACGGTCGATTACAAGGGAGTCCAGCAATATAGCCATTAATTACACTAACTGCTGGTCCTAAGATTTATCATCATTATCCCCCCTTAACAAACAGCATCATTGCTTTTGATTCAAAAGATTTAAATCTTTAATTAAATAGCTTCAAATTCCTAGTAAAAGAAGTGACATTGGTACTTTCTGTTCTAAACATGTTTCTGGATAGACATATCATATTACATGGGGATCTTGGAAAACGTGTATTATGATAAAAACAAAGGGCCAGCAGATGGTGTAGTGGTTATGTCACTGGACTCCCACAGGGCTGACGGCAATTTGAGTCCCAGACCCAGTGGCTTGAAAATCGTGCCAGGCACATGTGCATGTGCGCCCAAGATCCTGGGAGGAGAATGGAGGAAAAAGGACTGCAGCATGGCCATCCCCTTTAGGGAGTGATTTCTCGCTTTCCTTCTCACTGTCTCAGTCTCTTTTTTCCCTGCCGCAAGCACATACACCCTAAAACAAAACCCTCTTAAAATAAATAAAAATTATACATGTATTTCAAAATATATCTGCACCAAAATAAACTCAAACCTCAATTCCATTTTTCCATAAATTTTTAGAAGTCCCCTTGTGCGTTGCTAGTCACTTAAATAATATAAGACTGCATTTTTATTTAAATAAATTGTTCTTTATCCAAGAGAAAAAAAAACAAACCTTCTTTATCTACCCATACTTCTCAATTTGGAGCCCTCCAGGCATGTATGTAGTATGTCCAGGGTACCTGGATTCATGCACTGTACATAAGTAGGTCCTGCTGAGGCACTGATTTTACTCCATGGCAACAAACTTTAAAATGTGTCTGTGAGTTAAAACAAGCAGACGTCTGGTTTAAGATGCTATAGTAAAGGCAAACGTGAAGATCTTCCTCTCCTTAAGATACAGACAGCAAATGGTTTTAAAAAAAGGGTGGAGGTAAATATGCCAATACCAGTGAACATAAAAAAGGGCTGGTGGTCAGAGGAAGACCCAGCTTGGTGCAGTTCTACACAGCTCCTGACTCTCTAAAGAAGCACTAACGGAAACTTCATTAATAATTACCAGTCCCAATAACTTAAAAGAGAACATAAAAGGTCAGATGATATAGACAGACCTCAAAAAATGCAAAGATAGCCATGCAACTATAGTAAACAACAATGACCCCAAAAGACAGGGAAATCCCTGCTGCTGGCCATGGTGGCACCTGCACGATGAGAAGTCAGGATAAGCAGCACAGAAGGATCGACTAACAATTACAAAAGCAGATCACCTTAAGAAAAAGGTGGTGGGAGGCAGCTGGAGAGCCTGAGTGAAGTCCCCCTCCCTTCCAGTGGCCTTAACTCAGGACCAAACAGCCTTTCACATAACTTTACCCTGCTCTGTTTCCAGGCAGTGGAATCCCTGCTAGAGAGAGCTGAGCTGACTCTCCAGGATGGATGCAAAACTCCAGGGTTTCACAGATGATCTAAAGCAGGAAGATAGAACCAGAATATAGCCCACAGCCAATCTGGAGACAACAACTCCCCAACCTGAGAGAAAACCAAAACCACCAGGTCAGCCAGGACAGCCAGAGTCCAGCAGAGCTCTCCTCACAATGCATCCTCAGGCCAGCAACAGAGCACCAAACTCGAGCCCAAAGCAGTGGGCACCTGCCCAAGCAACAAAGGAGAGCAGTGGAGAATTCACCCGCATTAAGGCAGCAGACAGAGGAGGTCTGGACAGAGCTGCCACTGTAAGCATCAGCAAAGTGGTTAAGGAATAAAGAGAATGGCACCTATGCAAAAGTATGGAGGGAAAAAAGAAAAAGAAGGCGCATGTGTCAGCTCATGGCACCGCGATTGCGGTGGCTGGATCCCACGTGGCATCAAGTACTGGACTCAGCAGCTAGAAAGGTATGCTGGGCATGGATGCAAGCATGCCCAAAATCCTGAGAGGAGAGAGAAACAGAGAAGGGACTGGGCACGACCATTCCACATGGGGGTGCTTCCTTGTTTTCCCTCTCTCTCTAGTAGCACACATGCCCTCTGGCAGACTAAAAAGGAACACAGTATACAAAACAGGGAGTAGGAACACAGGGAGTAGAGTGAAACCCTGCCTCAAAGTGCTGGGTGTGGTGGCAGACACCTATAGTCCCAGCTACTCAGGAGGCTAATGTAGGAAATAACAAAACAGCGATACCCTGTCTAAAATACCACACACACAAACACTGTATGTATACACACACACACACACACACACACACACACACACACACTTGCTGAATGAACAGAGAAAAAACAAAAATAAAAAGACTAAAGCAATTGGAAGATAGTAAATGAGAACAGATAAAAATAATCCAATATACAGGTAACTTAAAATAATTCACAGAAGTACCTCAAAATTAGAGAACTCAAAAAATACAACCGCAAGTGGTAGTTAAGGGACTGGATTTCCACGTAGCCAACTGCAGTTGGAGTCCTGGACCCAGTGGCTTGAAAACCACGATGGATACATGTGTGTGCAGGCCCCAAATCCCAATAGGAAAATGGAAGAGAAGAGATTGCCAATGGCCATCCCCACTGGGGGATGAGTTCTCACTTTCTCTCTGTCTCTCTTTGGCAAGTGCAGGCACCCTTATGGTAAAAACCTTAAGAATAAATAAATAAATAAACTTAAAAGATTTCATATAAGACAATTCTGATTCAAAGTAAAACTGGAGTCTGCATATCAGAAAGGCACATGGGCTCCGGAAAACTTTATGTAGAAACATAAATACAGGTGGGGCTGGCAGGTAGCATGATGGTTAAAGATGCCGGATTCCCAAGTGGCCAACCGTGGTTTGAGTGCCGGACCTGGCAGCTTGCTTTCTCACTTTCCCTTTCTCTCTCCGTCTGGTCAAATTAAAAAATATTAACAAATAAAATTAAATAAATAATTAATGTTTTTTTAAAAAATAAACATAAATACAAATACATCCTAGTTATGTTGTTTCAAACATCAAGAATAAAAGCAAAAGATTCTGAGGCCAGCAGATGGCATGATAGTTAAGGGCACTGAACTCCCATATGGCCGACTATGGTTTGAATCCCGGACTTGGTGGCTGGCTCGCTCGCTCGCTCGCTCTCTCTCGTCAAATTAAAATAAATAAAGTTAAATAAAATAATTCTTTAAAAAAAGTCTTTAGGGAGAAAAATAACTAACTTACTTGCATGGAGATTGAGTAAGCCTAGTCTCAGGTTTTTCAAATTATTCAACACAAGAAAAGTGATGGAGGGGCTGGCAGGAGGTGTGGTCGTTAAAGGTGCAGGACTCCCACCTGGCCAACCATGGTTCAAGTCCCAAACTTGGCGGTTTGCTTTCTCACTTACTTTCTCTCTCTCTCTTCAAATTACAATAAATAAAAAAATAAAGTGAAATGAAATAATTCTTACAGGCATTAAAATGCTAAAAACCCAAGAAATTGGGTCTTGCAGTGGATCCAATTTCTAGTACTTAAGAGAAAAGTAGAGTTGACAAACAGAACTTGGGAAATACATGATGAAGCTGCCTGTTTAACATTGGTCTCTAATGTGAAGGACCCAGATGTTTGCTTAGGATGATTACCCATCAGGCATCTCAACGGATTATTCAACCTAATGATACTCACCAACCACTTTACTCTGAAGGAGAAGAGAGCACTAAAGGCAAAAACCACCCACAGCACTGGACAGGCAATAAGTCCTAACCAGAAGATTCTTGATTCAGCCTCTGAAACAGTTTTATTCTCTTGAGGGGATGTCTATAAAAGAACATACATTCAATCATTACTGTTAAAGATTTATCAGTAAAAAGTCTAACATTTTTAGTTAAAAAAAATATTACTCTCAAATTCAAATATTCAGACAGATAATTTTTCTAAGTGAGAACCATGGAAACAATTAGCTCTACCACTGTTTTAGGAACTGATACTACTGTATTTTAATTCAGAAATTTTTTTTAAAGAATTACTTTATTTAACTTTATTTATTATTAGTATCATTATTATTTTCCAGTTTGATCAGAGAGACACACAGAGAGAGAGAGGAAGTGAGAAAGCAAGCCACCAGGTCCGAGACTTGAACGGTGGTCAGCCATGTGGGAGTCCAGCGCCTTTAACCACCATGCCACTTGCCGGCCCCTTAATTCAGAAATTTTTAAGGTTCAGGGCAGAATGGACAACTTATCATGACGGAAGACAACAAAAAAATGGTCTCTGATTCCATTCTTCCATTTGTACTATTTATGCATAAGAAACCTTTTGAATGATACTTTTTGGGGTGAGGATTAAGGAAATCAAGTTATAGCCATGATGGAGGCTCAAAGGTCAGTTAAGTGTCCACAGAAAATAATGAAACCAAGGGATTCTGGTTAATGACCAAAATAGCTTAGCAATATCCATTAGTTGTTTCCAAGGTAGATTTTACAATATAAAGGGGACATGGGCTCACTGGGCACAATGTTGCTGGGAAGTTATTACTGTTGAGGCCCTTCCAAACAGAAGGTAAAGCAATTTATTGTAAGCAATGTACTGTTTGCAAAAATGCTGTCCTCTGCCTCTCAAATGGATTTTCACAGGAAAACTCAATGTTCACTACAGAGTAGCCAGCTAACCCGAGACAGACACAGGTTCCCGAGAGCTCCAGAAGGCATAGGCTTAGGAACAGACTGCTCTGACCAATTCAGATCGTCTACCAACGTGCACTCCTTCATTTTCCTGCCCACAAGGCGAGCGTGACCAGGGGAGTGAAGACAGAACAGGAAGCAGTTACCCACTGCACATAGATCCCTGGATACCTGGCAAGGCAACAAAGCTGGGGACCATCAGGAGACTCATGTCAGCAACTCCTGATCGGCAGATTAATGTACTGTATAGACTCTGACCAAGGTCCTCCCCTCTAAGGAATCTGTACTCATGTTTCCTGTCTGAACCAGACAGAAAACTGTATTAACTTTTAGAAGACTATCTGGTTTAGTAATGATGTGCCAAGTGATCTGGGGTAGTACTTTTAATCTTGTTTATTTTGTCCTTAAATATTCAAATGTAATCTACACATAATATATCAGATGACACTATTTATTTATTTACTTATCTATTTATTTATTTATTTAAAAAGAAGTTTACCTTCCTGGATTCAAACACCCAATGGCTCTTTCCATCTTCATCAATATGATTCCACCAACGTAGACCAACCATTAGTCTACCTGTGACGTTCTGGTAAAGATTAATATAAATATACACATTTTAAAAGCATTCTTTAATATCTTAGTGTAACATTCCACAAAGTATCTTCCACTTTACTTCCATAATATTCAGTTAACCAAAAGACTGCAATGAATCAGCTCTAGCTAGAAGATTAAATAAAATAGCAACAGCGGGACAAGCAGTAGAGATGACAGGACAAGCAACAACTTTACCCATAAACATCATCCACTTTCTTTTCCCTCACACCTAGTCCTTTCTCCAATTATCTATTCCCTCCCTAAGCTCCTTGCTCTTTGACTACTGCGACCTACCTTTTCCCATATACCCTGCCTATAGCTCCATGTATCTTGCAACTGTATATCCCTGATAATGGTTATAGATACTGGTCTTCATTCAATCCCTCATGTCTACCAAGCTCACCTGCTTACTAATGTAACAAATTACTTCCGCAGCTTTCCTACTATTTACTCAACAAATGTAAGTTACTCTAAATCTATTATGTTCTGGTAGTGAAAAATGGTGACTAACAGATACCACCTCTGAGCTTCAAATGTTATAGGGAAGAGAGGCAGTCAACCAATGTACAAATGTACTACTACTTGTGTATGAGAGAAAAGTATGGGATGCTTTAAGAATGTAATAAGGGGGACCAGCAGTTAGCGTAATGGCTATGCTGCTGGACTCCCATGGAGTTGACCGCGGTTTGAGTCCCGGACCTGGTGGCTTAAACTTAGGCCGGGCGTGTGTGCAAGCGTGTCCAAGATCCCGAGAGGAGAATGAAAGAGAAGAGATTGCGGCGTGGCCATCCCCCTAGGGGGTGATTTCTCACTTTCTGTTTCTCTGTCGCTCTGTCTTTCTGGCGAATGCATGCACCCTATAGCAAAAACCTCTCAAAAAAAAGAATGTAATAAGGAAATCTGATCTAACCTGAGTATCAGAGAATGACTTCCTTAGAAACCAACATCTGGAATAAAATTTAAAGGAAATGTAGAAATCAAAATATAGGAGATGTTTCATTAGTGGTATCCAATAATAAATTCAGGAGCTCTATGAACTTCAATAGGGAAAAATTTAATCTTTATTTTCATTAACTTCTGGTTTGAAATTCAACATATCTTTAAATTACGAATATAAACAAACCACGAACATAGGTAGAATTAACAGTACCTGTGACTTTATCACAATAAAAGCCAGATCTTGTACTATACTTACAGGAATCTCAACATATTTTGTATGCTCATCACTGCTTTGAAAATAATTAGAGGGACCAGCAAGTGGTTTGGTGATTAAGGCAGAGACTCCCACATAGCCAACTGTGGTTTAAGTCCCGGACCCAGCAGCCTGAAATCATGCCAGGTGTGTATGCATGCCTCCCCAAAGTTCCAACAGAATGGAAAAGGGATTGCGATGTGGCTGATCCCCCAGGGGATGATTTCTCACTTTTCCTTTCTACATCTCTTCAGTGAGCGCATGTACCTTCTTGCAAAATCTTAGTAAATAAACAGGTTTTTTAAAAGGAAAGTAGTTAGATCTAAGAAAGCTGCTAGATCTTACTATTAATAAGTTCATAAAGAAGTGTACGTTACTAAATTAGAAATTTATCTTTTGAATATTTTTAAATTATATGTCAATATAATGGCTTCTTTTATAATCTTATGTATTTTCTTTTATGTATTTAAAAGTATCACTCATAGCTTCATGAGACTGAGAAATAGACCTATGGCACTAAAAAGATTTGGAATCCCTCTTTTAAGATGATGTGTGCATGAAAACAGCATTCCAGTTAAACATAAGCTGTGAGAACAAATCTAGACAGAGATAAAGATACTTTGGGGGTCAGCACAGCTTATAGATCAGCTATGAAAACCAGAAGCAGAGATAGTACTGCTCAGGAAAGGAATACAGAAGAAAAGGAGCCTTAAAGACTAACGTTCATGCCACAGAAATGCTAGTAATTAAAGGCTAAGTAGAAGAGAAGAGCTGACAGAGGGACTGCGAACAGAAGTCTATTCTACTCCATTTTCAAAGAACAGCTCTAGATTATTTTCAAGCTCCACCATTTTTACATTTTCTAGTTCTTTACTTTCTGCTTTTATCTCTCCTAGTCTATTTTCCTAATTCCTATCGGGCTTGTATTTGTATTTCAAACTTCCAGGCTCCAGCAGACCAATTTTTTGGCTCTTTCTTATCTAATAGTAAAAGCTTTCAGTCTATTGCTTTTCCTGATTTCAGTTTTAGACATGTTCCAAATGTTTAGCTGTAGATGATCATTATCATTAAAGGTAAATAACCTACATTTACACTTGTTTCCTTTTTAATCTAAGATAATTTAGGAAGCTGACTTATTTAAAAATCTGGGGGTAGGGCCAGCGGGTGGTGTGGAGATTGAGGTGCTAGACTCCCACATGGCCAACCACGGTTCAAGTCCCTGACCCGGCGGCTTGCTTTCTCATGATCTGTCTCTTTCTGGTGAGCACATGTGCCTATAGCAAATTTAAAAAATAATAATAATAATTAAATTAAATACATAACTACTTTTAAAAATTAATTAAAAAAAATTAATTCTGGCAGGTGGAGGAGTGGTGGTTGAGGCACTAGATCCCACATAGCCAACCACAGGGTTCAAGTCCCAGACCTAGTGGCTTGAAAAACATGCCATGTACAAGCATGCCCAAAATCCTGAGAGGAGAATGGAAGAGAAGAGATTATGACATCACTATCCCCCCGAGGAGTGACTAATCTTTTTTCTTCTTTCTTTTGTCTTTCTGGTAAGTAGCACATGCGCCCTATGGAAAAACCTAGGGGGGAGAAAATCTGACAATCATTTTTTATTAGTTTCTCTTTGCTATATTAGACTAGAAAATGTAGTTACTCTGGGCAATGCATTCGGATTCTCTTAGTGGAGCTATTTAATCAATTTTTGTAATTGTTCTATAGGTACTCAACAAAAGGTATTATCTCTATACATCCAAAGTTCCAAATACAGCTTGTTAATTACTTTTCAAATACTTTAGGCCTTATTTTTTGTTGCTTTGATCTGTCAAAGACAGTGAGACAGTTTGTTAGACTCCTATTGTGACATTTCTTCCATCTTCTCCCAATATTTCTAATGTTTTTCCCTATACAGAATATCATTTCACTCTATGAATAATCTTTAGTGTGATTATTCATATTATTTTTTATTCAAATAATTTTTTTTGTTCTCTTCGGTGCCTTACCTTGATTTCGATTTCATCTGATAAAACAATGCCAACTTTCTTTTCGTTGAATTGGTCAAGTGTTTTCTTAACCTTCTTTTATTTTTACCGCGGTCGACTACGTGGGAGTCCAGCGACATAGCCATTACGCTAACTGCTGGTTCCCCCAACTTTCTTTTCATTGAATTGGTCAAGTGTTTTCTTAACCTTCTTTTATTTTTTTTCTAATGTCAGTATTTTAGTTGAATATTTTTGGATGGGCTTTAACTTTTGACCAAATGTTAGAAATCCTTTCCATCTTAAAAAGGAGAGTTTAATCAAATTGCACTTATTATAACAAGCTTACTCTTACTGCCATCACCGTGTACATAGGCTTTGTGATAAACTTTTTTGACATCTGCTTTGCTTTCCTTCTTTTGCTATATGAACTGCTTTAGTTGTTCCTATTCTCCAACACTGCACAAGATAAACAATTTGTCTTAAATTTTAGAATGGAATAAAACAAAAACCCATAAGCTAGAACATTCAGACATGCTTTTTTAAACTGTCACCTCTTCTCCACCTCTTTTTCGTCTTCATCAATACCACCTTAAAGCTAGATGAGATTGCCTTTTTTTAAATTCTCATATCTCTCTTGACAACTGCATTGAGATTTACAGTAATTATTACACATCTCTATTTTAACTAGTTTGAAAAACTGCCTGCCCATTTTTCCCAAGCTCATTTAACACTTCCCCATTCTTGACTTAATTTTCCTTTTTATCTCAACTATTTGGATATCTGTAATTTTGTCAAAGATAAAAGGGTAACTTTTTTTTTTTAATAAAAAAATGGGGGTGGAAATGGTTCCAGAAAATATACTACTTTAAGGCTAGCAGGTGACAGAGTGGTTATGGTGGCTGGGTCCACATGACCAGTTTTGCAGTTCAGTCCCAGACCTGGAAGCTTGACAATTATGCTGGAAGCATGTGCATGCAGTGTCCAAAATTCCCAGAGGAGACTGGAGAAGGGACTGTGGCATGGTCATCCCTCTTGGGAGGTGATTTCTTACTTTCTCTCTCTCTCTCTCTCTCTCTCTCTGTCAAGCACGTCCCACAGGAAAAAGAAAAAAAATACGTGTTTGTGTTTGTGTGTGTGTGTATTAATAA